CCCAGCCGCTCGGCTGCGTGCCGGCGCCGAGTGAGGATGCCCCGTGTCCCCAACACCACACTGGGCTGCAGCAGAGGTGACCCTACAGGGCAAGGAAGTGAGTCCAGGCTGTGGCTGCAGCTCCTCGCAGCCACCCACGCAGGAGCCGCGAGCCCACGGGCAGCGCAGCCTTTCCTGCAGAGACACAACTCTTGTAGTTTGCAGCACAAAGTGCAGCTGTAAAACGTTTTGAAATCGTTCACCTTTTGGCCAGTCACAAAGTGCCACGACAGCGTGACCACGCAGAGGACACAGGACACACACACACAACCCCCCGGGGTCACAGTAACACCCGCATTACGAGCAGACCTGACGACACTGCTGACCAGGGGGAGGGAAGCTGACTCAGTTTGCTCAGTGCCCCACAGCCCTTCACCCACACTCACCTCCTAACCCCACGGAGCACAACAGCCAGAAAAATAAACCTGAGACAAGACAGCGTCATTTCACATTTGATGGCTGATCTTTCATAACCAGCTGAAGGGAGAGCCAGCCCGTGCTGAGGGTTGGGGAGCAGCAGCAGCAGCACACATAGGGCTGCTTCACTGCTAAGGAGGCAGCAGGAGCTCAGGTCAGGATCTCCCACGTGTTAGAATCTCACCCTATCTGCTGCCAAATGGACACCACCGAGTTGGCTGCTACACACAGCATAACAGCTGCCCTGACTATTCAGCTTTCAAAAGAAGTAGAGACTGTTCCACACTAAACCTCAAACTATTGCAGTAAGTGACAGGAACAAAAAAAAACCCAAACAAAACCCACGACCTTCTCCTTCTACCCAGAAAGTTCTACTCCTGCTTCTACCACAGTGAAAGTGGGGACCAGTCACTTTGCTCCAATATCCTTGCAACTCTAAATCTGGAGGGAAGGAGGAAACAACTGGGACTGAAGCAAAGAAATTCAGAGCAGAGGCTGATGAGGAAGGACAGCAGAACCTGGATACTCCATATTTGACATTACAAAAAGCTTGGGGAAGGAATTTAACTGAGTGTTCTCACTTGCAAAACCTGCATCAATGCTGTGATGTCATTTTAGCTTTAACCTCTTGTGGGCCTTGTCTTTAGGTTTAATGGCTTCTCAGAGCACAAGAAACTATAAGGAGTTGGCTCTTGCACTATGAGTAGTGACTGCAACCCAGGCAGGGTTTAGTGAATCTCAGGAAAACACCTTTCAAAGTGTTATCATAAGGTTCCTAAGTGTAACCTCCCTTTCTAACAGGATCCTCTGTCTTCACAGGATACTTGGAATGAAGCTCTCCCTTGGCTCTGTGTAAGCTGAGCACTTGCTGCACCTCTAAATTTTACCCTTTTAGCATCAGTTGGGAGACTCACCTCTCAATAAGTCTGAGAGTGGAGGACCACAATCCTCTGGAATCGTGTAGTCACCTTTCCCGATGTTTTCAAATAATTTATAGATGTTATCCCCTTCAAAGGGGTACAGACCCGTTGTAATGTTGTATCTGTAATGGCAGAAGGAGAAGCTGTATGAGGAACAGCACAAAAAACAGGTGTTCAGTTCTTATGTGACTACATAAACCAAAAGAAGCCAAGAGGAAACTAAAAGATGAACGTTTGACAGTATTTGCAATGCCTCTTTTAAACTGAGCCTTCCTTTATCGCAGCCTCTTCATTCACATGAGTCAAAACCACCAAGACATCTCCCTGACAGGCTGGGATGGAAGAAACTTAAAAATAAATACTAGAGATATTTGTGGTTTCTATTATTACAGTAGCTGTGCATCTTGGATGCTGAGAAATGGCTGAGAGAGGTACTCACTGAGAGGAAAGATTACTGTCTTCAGAATTACAAGCACTTCGGAGAACACACACCCATCCAAAGGAGGAACTAACACACTACACCCTCCCTGCTCCCCTCAACAAGATAGAGAAGAGCAGTGATGACAGGAGATGGCACAAGACTGAGCTATCTGGAAGCTTTTAATTTTTTGATTGCAATTCCCGGGTGCTGCGTGGGCACTTACAGCGTGACCCCTGCGGACCAGATGTCTACTTTAAAGCCTGAAAAGGTGTCAAGGCCATTGGCAATCTCTGGTGGCTGGAATGCTGGCGACCCTTGGCTCGTTCTGCACGTGTCATCCTCTGCAAACGGATGCAAAGCCTGTGGCAAAAGACACCGATTAGTTTAAAACTTTCAAGGCAGAGAAGTTGTAACTGTTAGAAAAGTTTCACCTGGGGGGGGAAAAAAAGTGAAAACTCCACTACTGAACATCTGCTTACACATCATGAGAACTACAGCAACTACATGCTAACAGTGACAATTCCTGCACCTCTCCTATCTGGCCAAGACAGCCTTCAGATGATGATAAGGACAAGGTTATGCAGCCTATCGCCATCTCACCACACTTCTGGATCTGTCTAAGGCTGGTGTCTTCCTCTATATGCTTCCTGGATGGAAGTTTTGTGCTGTCATCAACAAAAACTGTTTTGTCAATTAGAATAAATACTCAGAGTCACTCTCGGGCAGCCTGCAAGTTTAACAGAACAAAAACCTAAATGCACAATAAATCAATGGCCACCACAAAGGTGACCTAAGTCTGGAACGTCCCGCTTCCCACACCGCTGACTTCGCCGCAGCTCTCGCGTACCTCTGCTACGCCTAAATCGGATATTTTTAGTGTCCCATTGGTTGTTAGCAGGAGGTTCCCCGGTTTTATATCCTTGTGGACAATCCCTTGGCTGTGCAAGTATTCTAAGCCGTCTATAAGCTGACAAAAGTACCTGCAGAAAGAGTTAGAGGAAAAGAGTCAAGCACTTCCATGGACTATGTGAACTCTGATAATACATAAAGCAAAGAGCGCTGTCATTGGAAACAAGTCAGAAACAGATTTACCTTTGATGAGGAGCTTGAGATTGAACTGCAGTGTGTAAGAAACTGCACTTCATCTTCCCACAAAGTCAGGAGTTACCTGCCAGAGCTCTGCAGCAGTGTGCCAACCACTTCAGACTCCGGGCTCCTCCACACCAAAGCCCTCTTCACAAACCTGCGTATTTTCTAAGTGCCGAGCACCACCCTGACACAGACCTGACAGTTAATTCTGACACTTGCTTTAGTCTAGCCTAAGTTAAGCTAGCAAAAGGTGAATTCTAAGGTTCCTTTACTTGCAGAGTGAAAGGGGCTTCAGATTAGCTTCTCTACTAACTGAACAAGCTAGAAGATCATGCTGGATATCAGCAATCCTTAATCCATCCAAAGACCTTTAATCTCTTTTCTGACACTGAACCATGTGGCTTAGACAGAGCAAGTCCTCACGGATTCCTCCACTGCACCCGTCCTTGCTGAACAGCAGAGCTGTAGGAAAGGGGCCAGGAAGGGTTGTCTCCTATCTTGTGAAGCAAAACAAAAGTAACAGAAAATTCAACAGAAAGATGTTTTTTCTTCCAAGAATCTTCCAAAGGGCTGTCCCTGCCATCACTTCATTAGTTTTCATTTTTTTTCCATGGATGTAAAAGATGCAGTTATCACACAAAGCCAGTTTTACTTTAAAGTGCAGCCAGCAGTCTAAGCAACAGAGTAGAACCTGCCTTCGAGTTCAAGGGAGCACAGTGGTGAGAGGCTAATGCAGCCCAAAGAACAAAACCGTACTTACCCGTGAGCCTGAAAAACTGGAAACCTCTTTTCCGGGACACTGTCCAGCATTTCCTGCATGCCACACACACAGTACTCCATCACCATATACGTGAGGGTAGAGTTAAGGAAGCTGCAAGGTAAACACTTCTCAGACAAACACTGCGAGGACTGCAGCCCCATCCCAGCACAACGGGAGAGCTGCTGCACGGGCCGTCCCGTTACCGGGTACACACACACCAGAGAGGGAGAGGGAGAGCCCGAGCTGTGCTGCGCCTCCCGAGGCAGCCACCTTCCTCCAAGTGCCTAACGGGACCCAGGAGAAAATCCTCTGCTTAATGACCATGGTCTCTGCAACTCCATGACCAGAGCTGAAATAGGATGTGAACTCCACAGAAATTAAGCTGGAGATCCCACAAGAGTGACAGAAAATACTCTGAAGCGGCTACAGGAAGTCAGGAACCCCCAGGCAGAAGAGCTGCAGGCTGTGGCACGTTCTCCCAGTGCCCTGGCTGCTCTGCACAGCCAGCTCCCATCACCTTCCCCAAAGTTTGTTGCTCTTCATTTCCTGTTTCAAAACAATATGTCTGTGTGCACTATTGCACAGCTGCTGCTTCCCCCCATCCCTGTGGTCGTATTTCAGTAGCAGGAAAGTGGATCCCTAGAGAGCTGGGAAGTTTTTTTGAAATCACATGGATTAAAAATAAGCTTACACAGAATGCCAGGAACTGGTGGCACTTTCTAGCATATGTTCCCTTGCAGCATATTCTCGTTTTCATCTCCTCAAGCTTTAGTGCTGGGGCCAAACAACACACAACTGCCTAAAGCAAGAGTGTCCTCTGTCTTCCTCCTCTCCTGGGCTTGTGAAGGCAAATTGTGCTGAGAGGGGCTGGAGGGAACAGACCCCGAGACATCTGGTGGCTTTGCCAAGGGAATGCACCTTCGAGATAAAGAGCAGAGCAAAGCAGGGCTGACAGGCAGCCCATGTTCTCCAGGGACACGAAGCATTTCTTTGGTCACTCTATACCCAGCAGATGCCTTCTTAACCTAAGCCTAAAATCAGCTGCTTATGTCCCAGGATGCCATCTTAATTCTTGAGGCAGAAGATGCTAAAAGAGATGCCCTGAGTTTTTGAGTGGGGTCTGTGCTGGAGATTGTGTTGCCCTTTTGTAGCACTTTGTTCTATCCAGGAGCTCAAAACGCTGTCCAAGCTCACTGAACTGCTCCGTTCCCCACACGAAGTGCTCTTCAGAGGGACACTGAAGTGCTGTACGATTTTATCATGGGTACAACGACACCCAGTAAATCAGCAGAAGCAAGAACAGCAGAAAGGGCTCCCAAAATTCTTTCCTACTGTTTCTTACTCTGGAAGAAATCTGTGAACTACTTTATCACACTGATGTTGAAGACATCAGCTCTCCGACCTTGGAGAGAATAATACTAACAGTAGATTACACAGACTAGCTCCTAGGAAGCAAAACCCAGGTCTCATTCTCTCACCTGAAGGACAGGCTGATTGTGGTTTCATGAGCTGCCAGACTGTTTTCCACCCTTTTCTTCTGTAACTGATCCATCTCCGGTTGACCAGCCAGATTAGAGTACAAACTCTCATGCTGGAGCAGATCTATTACAGGTGCCCCAACAAGACCAAGGTTCTCAATTCTCCTAATCAATGGGGTTCTGCTCCCACGCACAACTGCACATACTGGTAACAGAAGCTGTCAGGGAGGGTGCCAGCTGGGACACTGCTTATTGAACTGGGTTTATTTTCTGCCTGGATTAGTTCTCCATTCATCACTAGCTCTGCATTCCCAGCCACAGCAGGTCATCAAAGCAGCCCATTAAATACTAAGTGTAGTTGATATTTTTAATCCAGTCATCAGAGCTTTCCCTTCACCACAGAAAATCACTGAAGGTTTTCACTAGACAGGCAAGTTATTAAAACACTCTCCTCAGTATAAACATGGCTAAAGCCTGCAGCTCACTTCTAACTGCAACAGAAAACTCAGGTGAGAACAGAATCCTTCCTTCTACAGGCCCAATTTCAAGTGCCACAATGGTCACTCTGGAAATGAGGACCTTTTTTTTATCCTTAGTAAGGGGGAAGTTGACACCCCACCCCTCTACCCCACTTTCAGCTTGTATTGTTTCCTGCAAGTACCAATGCAGGCACGTGCACGACTACACAGTGACATGAGTACAGGAGTGACCTACAGAGAAGCCAGCCGAAAAGAGAAAGTTAATTTTCAGCTGGATCTGTCCCCAAACCTGTTTGCCATGTGGCCACACAAGGGTTTGTACCGCCACATCCTCAGACACGGTGCACAGTGCCAGTGTAGAGAATCTGGAGAAAGGTTAAGCCAGAACATGCTCATGGATGAATTCCCAGCCCCAGTGAACACAACAGACTTCACCAGCTATTGCCACTCACACACAGAACGAGCACTTGCAGAAACAAACTTTCTAAGGGTGCAGAAGCAGATTAAGATAAAACCCAGTGAAGTCATCCTACACTTGCAAGGGGAAGCACTGAAAAACAATGTGTTCTTTTACAAACATCACTGTTTAGAAAGTACAGCGAGGAACATCCCTCCTGGCTTAGAGAAGTCACGTTTCTGAATGACCACCTCGGGTTGTCATCACCTGTTACCAACACATGAGGTCTCTCTCGGGCTCTTTTTCCTCGTGCTTCTCCTTTAGCAGCCCAGCTTCTTATTAATTAAATGGTCTCTTTCTATAGACAGTAATTGAATAACAGTCCCTTCGGTCTGCTAAGGCTACAAAACACAAGCAAAAAGTTGTCGTGGTTTTTTTTAATACTAATGATTTGGTGGCAGTGTATTTGATTTAATTAAAGCACACAATTAAATTACTCATTTTATGAAGTACTGTAATTGGAAAATAGTATTTAGAAAACGCTGCCAGAAATAAAAGCAACCATTTATAACATGTACTACAACAGACCAGCTCAACGAGCTCAGAAACCAGTTCAAGTCAGAGTGGTAGTCGCATGAGAAATCATCCAGCTCCTCAACTGTGTTTCACTTGCAGGTTGAGGTGTGTGATGACACTGGTTTGTGTCTGTGGATACCTGGGGGGGGACAGTGCACTGGAAAAACATGTTAAAGTCTGAAAGAGGCACTGAGATCACAAGCCACAGACTGGATTCAAGAGCTGAACAGTTTGGTCTCAAACAGCTGAGCTGTAGATCTCACAGGAGCAATATGCTTTCCATCTCTCATGACTGTGACAAGCTGTAGGTCACTGAAAACACCATCACCAGGGACTTCCACACAAACGACACAAAGGAGGTGGCTTGGGCAGGCTCAGGAACTCATCTTGTCAGGGACAACCAGCAGCAAAGCATCCCAACTGCCCACAGAAAGGCAGCACTGCAGCAGCACAGACCTGCCAAGGGAAGGAGTCGCAGGCACCTGCATCCCAGAGGACAAGTAGATGGTTTTCTTCTTCTTTTGAGGGAGAAGGGAAAAAAACCCAAAACCTAAACCACTGCCAAGGACTTAAGAGGAAAAAGCATTGCAAAAATTGATTTCACATAGCATAGACAATAAAAGGTCCATCTCCAGGGAAAGAAAGCACTACCATACACCACAGTTAGGACAGGAGGTTAGAAACAACAGACCCACGGCTCTTTTCATTGCTGAGCTGCTGAAGGTCACACAATAAAACACTGCATTTGAGGGTCAGTTCTCCCCAGCCCTGCAACTGTAACCTGGGGACAACATTTTGTTTCCTAACTGGGAAGCTGGGAAACTTAAGAAAATGTACTTGTGTGGAAAATATTCCAGACATGCAGCATGTTTAATACCAGGGAAAGCAATTTTAAGCTTAAGAAACATTTACAAGAGCCTTAACCAAAGCAGAACTGTAATGATTCAGCACCACAGCAGAGAAGAACAGGAATTCAAACCTTTATCAACCACTGTGTGAAAAAGGATATATTTTCTGCTTCTCTTCATTGTATAATACATCTACCAACTGGATAACGTTTTTGTGCCGTAATCGTCGCAGGAGCTGAATTTCCCTGTGGGAAGAGAAAATGGAAAAAAAGTTATGTTTAAAAATCCTATTTCCTAGGGCCCAGCACAGCAAGCTGAGCCTCCTCCCACCCGGGAGAGGGGTGGTGTCCCCTGCGGTCCCCTTCTCAGCTCACGTCCTTCCCTGCAGTCCCAGGCACACACCTCACCATTCCCCATTAACGCCAGCACGAAAGGAAAGGCACAAGGGGAACTGAGATGCTGCCCTGTCAACGGCCCAGGTGAGTCAAATCCCACCCTGATTCACTGCACACCCCAAAGATGCAGCTTTATCAGCTTCCCCCCAGTTAAAGCTTTTCAAAGGACACTGGGCTGGTGGGAGCTTAGCTCAGTATCAACCCCTTCAGCCAAACCCCTGAGGATGTGCTTGTGTTTACCGCAATATCTAGGACAGTCACTTCCAAGACAAAGCCTTGTGCTTCGTGCTGCTTTATACCCAAGTGTCATCTGTAGTTACAAGAGCAGAAATAAATTTACTTGGGCTCCCAGTCTTCATACTTCAGGGTGTGTTTTTAATGTGCATCGTGACCAGGAACACGCCCACAGACATCAGCAGCATCGTGCAGTTGGGTCTGCTCCTGCCCAGTGCCAAATTCAGCGCAGCACTTAACACCCTACAGCCCAGTTCAGCACAAACTCTGTTATTCAGCTGGGAAGAAACTTGAATATTAGTTGCTTGCCAAAAAAAAAAAAAGTTTCTATACCTAACAAGCAATTCCTTCTACTAGTTGTATTGTCAGCAGAGGGAAGTCATTTAAACATAAATATAAAAACATCAGAAACTGGCTAAATCTACTAAAGACACACACAAATGAAATGAAATTGATTTTTTATTATACCACAAGAAATTCCTCTGAAGAGGGGCTGTGGAGCAGAACGTGACTTCCTACAGAACATATAAATTACAGAAAAAAACAGGAGAGGTACTTCAGTAGCAAAAAGAGACCAGTGCATCACCAGCAGCACCGCACCTCACACGCTGCACACAATCCCCTGCAGCTCAGCCCCTGGCTCCTGACGTGACCCACCCAGAGATCTCCCAAACCACATCAAATTCCTCACATGCAGCAGCCGAGTATGGAGGCTGCACATCCTGCCCTTTCATAAAGCTCTGACTTCCAGGAGAATTCCAAACCGAAGTGATCAATCTAAGAATAGCAACACTGATCTCAAGAATGAGCCGAAAATAGGAGCTGCAGCTAACAACTCCATTTCTTCCAAACTTTAGTCCTCACTTAACCTGAGTGAACAGATCCCAGATTTGAATCAAACCCTCTGTTTGTGGAGAGTAAATAATGTAGAATTGAGTGAGGAGACATCTTTCCTTGGCTATGAAAACAGACCTTTGTAAGTCATCTCCTATCAGCTGTTTCAATCTCTGTCTCTTGGGATTTTGTACTGTGCCCCAAACCACATTTTAGTATCTTTTGCATTTTAAACTCAGCCTGAAAAATCCCACTGGATGCCAGCGGTGAAGAGAAACAGGAGGATCAGGACAGTCAGGTCAGGGTGGTTCTGTCAGGGGCTGGAAGTGCAGATCCTGCTCTTCACTTTGCTCCTGTGCTGCTCGATTCTGGGCTGTGCTAAGCCATATGTAAACTCTTCTCCCCAGCTCTTTCTCCTGCCCTTTGTAAGTTGCTTTAAGCAGCACAGTTACTTTTCAACAGTCAGGACTCTTGAAAGCAGCATTACCAGGAATTCAGAGCACAGCTTTGGAAGCAAGAGCCTCTGCCCAAACACATGACACAAGGAGCTCAGAAAGGCACTCACCCCTGGCCATGCAATTAGCCAGCCTCTAATAACAGGCTGTGGCCAGTACAAAGGCTTGGTGATGCATCACATCTGATTAACAAACCAGTAACTGCTCCTTCCAAAGGCTCCTAAGA